TCACTGCTGTAATGGGCTTTGCTTGGCACATGACTGTGCGCCGCCCACATGAGAGGGCCTTCTCTGAAGTATTCTTATGAATGACTCTCTTGTGTGTGTGTGTGCTGCGCATGTTGGGCTGCTGCTGCTGCTGTTGGGAGGTTGTCTGTGTGGTTCTGCTCTCACTGCTCTGTGTGTGTGTGTGCTTAGTGCGCCCTGGCTCTGGGAGGAATGCGTGGCTGCTGCCCGTTGTTGGGCGTACATCATCCCCCTCTTTGCTTTGGGCTTCGGCTTCTTTTTCTACGGATTTGTGTGCCACCTGTTACTTTAACGTTGCTTGTTTATTGTTGCAGTGCTCTGTGAAGCACAGCGGTGGAGTGGTGCTGTGGCGGAGTGTGCAGTGCGGCGCCATTGGGCTGGCGGACGCGTACGGCTCCACAGGAAGTGCACGACCCCGCACCACCGCATGTTCCGTGTCCTCAAGTATCCGTGCTTCTGTGTGTGTTGTGGGGAAATGCATTTGGTCCCGCAGCAGGATTAAGGAGAGATGCCTGTGAAGAAGTTTCCGCCGCTTGGGGGATGGCTCGTAGGGTGAATTCACCCCCGTTGTTTTGGTTTCTTGTTTTCTCTCCGCTGCGCCATCGCAGTGACGGGAGGGAACATTGACGCCACTTGGGCTTTGTGGTGAGGTGCTTTCCAGAGGTGAGAACTGTTTTAATTCTTTTGTTTGGGGGTGTTGGGGGTTCTTTGTAAACATCTGAGAGTGGAAGAGTGTCGAGGAGTCTTGCTGCTGTGCCTGCGGTGTGTGCACTGTTCCGCATCGTTGCCTCTCTCCTCTCTCTGCTGCTGTATAGGCAGTGCTGCTGCGCTCGTGAAAATGACTGCGTGCCGCCACCTTTGGCTGAGGGGCGCTGTGATGGTGCGGCTAAGGTGTGGGTAAGTGGCGTTGAGTGCCGCATCAGTTCAGGTGCCCCTGTGCGGCTGGGATGATGTGCAGCTGTGGTGTTTTCCCTCCTTTTCACTGCATTTGCTCTTGTTGCCTGCGGTGTTGAGCTGCGTCAAGTGTGGCCTGTGCATGTGGTGGTGCTGTCCGTGCAATTTCTATTGTGGCCTCACTGCTGTGTGCTGCATGGCTGCTGTG